AAGGCCCAGGAGGGTTGGGTCCCTTCCTTTACGGTTCCAGACGAGCGGGGAAGCAGTTGCTGCTGCCGGTTATGGGTAAGGACGGCCTCAAATGCCTCCTGCTGTGGGCATCAGCCCTCCGCCAGGCAGTTGGGTCCTCGCTTCTCCAAGTCTTCCACATGATCTTCCCAGACAAGACGTCGGGGATTGTAGACAGGTGCCCGCTGCTGCGGCACGTACAGCTCAGCGGCCTGTGCTCCTGCCGTTGCAACACCGACCAGGACAAGGAAGGCCATCACGGCGGCCTTGATCGCAGCAGTAGAAGTCGTATCATGGTCTCTTTGGTCGGAGCGCCGCAGTCGCCGCCTTTGCGGAGCCGTCTGTGAGGTTCCCCGAAACTCCCGGCGCCTTCTATTGTCGCCCATGGACCCTAGCCTACTCTGGCGATCAGTTCTGGGGGTTATAGTGCAGCTACGGGGGTGATACAGGTGGCTTGGTGTGCTGTGCCCGATCCAACGTGATGCTCTCAAGAGAATCGCAGAAATCGCAGGTTTGTACCTGCGATCGCAGAAAAGGAGCAGAGGTGATTTTTTCGGCCCTGCTCCCGACCTGCGATCGCAGGTAAAAAGCCTCCATATTCGCAGGTAAAACCTGTGATCGCAGGTTTCGCAGGGTTTTTTTGGCCTGTTTAGGTCGACCCTCAGTTCGGATGAACGCCGGGATCAACAGCAGATCCAGCATCAGCATAACCTGCATCACGTGACACCACACAGGAAAGCAAAGAACGATGTGTTACTTGTTATTCCAGTGCACACCTCTCCGTTGGCTTGTGGGTCTAACATAGCACGGTGGCTTGACGCACCCAGAACGGCTAACCCCTCGCGACCCACGGGATGCTGACATACTGCTGCTGCTGTTGAACGACATCCTGACTCACACACTGCTGCTGCTGCTGATAACCGGAGTACACATGTCCAAGCCACAGCAACGATAAAATATTTAGCTGCGACATGCACTCACTTGCGATTGCGTGAAACGTAGAAAGTTGACGCAGTCCTGTGGGCTGAAGAATGCTGTCACGTCCCTACGTGCGATACTCGTGGGCGTGTCGTCGAGTTCCAGACGGGCCATCGCGAAAATGAAAGCGATGTTGTACACGAACCATATATCGGTGTAGACTTCGAATAGATTACGGCATCGAAGCATGACCGAACACGTTTTTTGCGCTCCATTCGTTCGCGAATACGTAGACGGGACATGGTAGCCTCGCCCACACACTCAACAGTGGGAGCGCTGCAGAGCGCTCTGTCAAGAGACAGCTGTTCCCGCAGCAGGGCAGCAAGCAGCCACGGAAGGAGGGGGACTGTCAGGCCACTGTCCATCCCGGCCAATCACTTTCGCCCTAGCCTGCAGACCATAATTCGGAAAATATTCGCCTGCAGGAAGTTTCCAGGAAACTTTCTTAACTCAAAATCTGTTTCCCTATTTCAGGGTTGTTGTTGTTGTTGTCTTCACATTAAACCGTATGTCAGTTGCTAAATGCCAAAATCTAGCGAAGACTCTCAGCCCGTGGTCACGAAAGTGCTAGAGCCATCTGAGGATCTAAAAAACACGCACACATAGACTATAACGAGAAAAAGGTATCCAAGAGCCCGAAGAGGTACACCT